TCTTCATACCCTGGCCACAATGTCCTATTGTTCCACAGATGAAGTATCTCTTCCCGGAGAAGCAAGAGGGATGGTTGTGGCGCCATCACTGTAGGACTTGACTGGATTGGTTGGCTGGCAGGAGTCATAACCTGCCTTGGAACTTCAACCACATCATGATTAGGAGGATAATGAAATACTGCACATATGGGGAACAGTGTCAATACAAACAACACAAATTAAAACCTGTTTAATCAAAAGGGAATTGTCTGGAGACATTTATAAAACCAGGCCTCGCAGTGGAAGCATGCAAATGATGACTTACTGAGTTTGTCTCCCACAGAAAACTTTTGGGATGATGCCCATGCTTGAAGATTCTGTGTTTGTATCCCACCCGCCATTAGATCCTCCTACAATGTGATTTTCTGCCATTGCGATTTCGATGAGCATAGCTACAAATGATACCCTGATGAAGGTTTGAAGGGCAGCCATATCTGCCAAAATGCTTGGATATGAGAAATGTTCGAAGTTTAATGTTGGATAGATATGATAGAACTGTGACCTCGTCCTTACCGTGGAAGAGTATATATAGAGAGAGGCCAAGACAGATTGTGCAGGCCTCGTCTTCAGTCATTGAAATTTGAGACATTGGAGTTGGTGAGGTCATGCAAACGGGATTTTTTTTTTTTTTAATAGGAATGTAGGTACTGTCTTTCCTGTCCGCCTTGAAACTCCTATCTCATTCCCCATCTTTTTCCATTTTGCCGAGAAGGAGAAGGTGGCGGAGCTGTTGGTAGATTCCCAGATAAAGACTTTTTTTTTTTTTTATGTGACAGTTAAGTAGTTGTGTCGATGACAGCTCAGGTTTCACCTTCTCCTCATGCATTTGTATTTTGAGAATTATTTAGATCATCAGTCCCACTAAGAGAAATACATATGCGGCCTTGACACCTGGCTTTTTGTGGTTAAAAATATGCGGCCTTGACACCTGGCTTTTTGTGGTTAAAAGGCCATGGGATTTTCAACGAATGTTGACCAATCAAAATTTCCAGCACAGGCTATGAAAATCTTCTTGACAGGAAGGAATCCAGTGACTGATTCCCAAGGTGGGAGACCTATTCGGAGGCCCTGCCACGCGCGCACCTAATCCTACTAGTAGGAGTAGCCTCCATCCCATCACGCTACATATACTTTCTGGTACAATTTTAAATATCACTTAGATTGATTTTTGATTAAATTAAAAAAAAATTGAATTAATTATTTATAATAAATAGATATTATTTTTTAAAAATATTTTTACTAATTAAATTTATTAACTGAAGCTATTATTATTAGCAGAATTATCTTTAAAAAAATAAATAAATATGATGGATAAAATAAATCATAATCTTATATTTAAATTTAGAATTAAGATAAAAGTCAAAATAAAATGGCAGGAGGTAGTATATTACTGCTTTTAAGATGGAGGCACGACCGGAATTCAAGGAGAAAGAATGAAAATAATAAAAACGATACGAAAAGTAATAGCCAGATATCATACCATTTCATAATTCCTATTGGTTTTTACGGGGGTCGTGGATGGTGAATAGTGTTTTGGTTGGACCAAAGCTGATGGAGGAACAATGTGATGATCTGGAGAATATTGGGCCTTACGAGATACAGTGAGGTAGCCCAAACTTCTAGTGTGCCGAATTGATAAATGCCTTGGAAGGCCCATTCCTTTGTGAGTCACTGTGTTTTTGCTAAAACATAGATATCTCCTATTAGAGGCAATCATATTCGAGAAAGTACTAAAAATGTGGACACCTCTCTCAACAGAGATTCAAACCTTGGTTCGCCACGTTATGAGAGACTAGCCTCTTCAATTAGATCTAACCCTCGCTGGTTGAGTCACTTGATTCTTGAGAAAGCATCAATTTAGTGCGCCTCAGCTCCCAAAAAGTTTTTGGTTTGTCGTTACAAACATATATGGGTGTGATTGAGTTTTCCATTATATTTTCGTTTCATTTGAAGCATCAATTTAGTAAAAGGATTAGATTAGACTGTCACGTGTTTCCATGAATATGATGTATAAAAAATTAACTTCTTGATATGCTAAAAAAAATGAATACGTTTTCTTATCTAGGTTTTTTTTCCCCTCGGTGAATAAAGTACCCTAAATTTAAAAACAGTAGGATACACTACGAGGGACAAGATTTGCTAGAACTTATCCATTTATTATGATCATTTTATCTATTGATCATGCCTGCTATCAAAGTAAGGCAAAACTTGCTGTCAAAATTTGGCAAAAATTCTATCACATCTATAAATGAGATTTTAGAAGATAATGCTTATTAATCAAATTAGAAATTTTCAACTTTTTGAAAAAGCTTTAAATATTTTAGCCTATGATTTTAGATTTTTCTACCTTAAATCCTGTGTGACGGATTTTATTATTTTCTTCTTCTTTTTAATTTTTAATTATTTGATCCTGCTTCTTCAATCTATTATCCCTGATCCTAACAAAAATAGTAATAATTACTGGTTAATTTTGCAAGGACCAAGAGAGATGAAAATCTAAAAACTAAGGATGCAATTTTTTCCGGGTCGAAGAACCAAGGCTATAACTTAATTAAAAGAAAATAAGCAAATATACAAAATAGGAAACAGTTTAACCGAATCACCGGAGGGTCAAAAGATTTGGATAAAGCCGTTTGTCAGACGAAGCAAAATAGGAAAGAATACGCAAATCAGAAAATTTCATTCACAATAAATAACACTTGACAAAAATACTTTCCAAACTAACGTTTCAATGAGTGGAAAGACAGTACGCGGAATGACGTGGTCATCACCACATAATATAAGCACGCAGAAACCAAGCTTTTTCATCAGAAGCCGAACTCATTTCAGTATCATAAACCCGTTCACTTGAAGACGTGAAGAGTAGGAGGAGGAGGAGGAAGATGGGCTGCACTATTGCCAGCAAAACCTTGCATCCTCAGAAGGTGGTTGATCAACTTGAAGAAGAAGAAAAGATGGTCAGGCCTGGAAGTAGCATTGCCACTAACTGGAGAGAACTTAGTGGCCAACATCACTGGAAGGATTTGCTTGACCCACTTGATATTGATCTTCGCAAGTACATAATACACTATGGAGAAATGGCTCAGGCTACTTATGATGCTTTTATCCCTGATAAAACATCTAAATATGCAGGAAGGAGCCGTTATGGGAAAACAGACTTCTTTTCCAGGGTGGGTTTGGAAAACGGGAATCCTTTCAAGTATGAGGTAACAAAGTTCCTATACGCAACCTTAGAAACTGGTTTTCCTATATTTGGTGATCATGTTGAAGAATCAAGTTGGATAGGATATGTTGCTGTGGCCACGGACGAAGGCAAAGCCGTGTTAGGGAGGAGGGACATTGTAATTGCTTGGAGAGGAACTGATCAGATCAAGGAATGGATTAAGGATTTTCAGTTTTTTCTAAGTGACGCTCCATATATTTTTGGACATGAAGTAAAGTGTAAAGTACATCGAGGATTTTATTCCATTTATACAGCAAAGAATTCATCGGCCTTAAACAGAAATAGCGTCAGAACCGAGGTAACCTATTAACAAATGACTATTCCTTTTATAACTTCAGATGCTACAGTTTTATTAGAGCCTAAATTTATTTAGAATGATGGGTTTTTAATCAATGTGCAGGTCTTAACTGAGGTCAGAAGACTTGTGAATAAATTTAAGGATGAACAGATTAGCATAACAATAACTGGTCATAGTTTAGGGGCAGCACTTGCAACACTAAATGCATTGGACATAGTTGCTAACGGCTTTAATATTCAAGGAGATGGATCTCAAAAGGCTTGTCTTGTCACAGCATTTGTGTTCGCCAGTCCTCGAGTTGGAGATTCAAAATTCTCTAAGTTTTTCACTGCTCAAAAGGATCTGCGAACACTACGTGTTCGGAATAAAGAAGACATTGTCCCCAGGCTACCTTTCTTGCATTATGCAGAAGTGGGAGAAGAGTTAGAAATCGATATTATGAAATCCAACTTCATAAAGCATGTTGGGGGAGTCAACTTCAAGATGTGGCATAATTTGGAGCTTTACTTACATGGAATAGCAGGAACACAAGGGAGGAAGGGAGGATTCAAATTAGAAGTTAAAAGGGATATTGCACTCGTTAACAAGAGCTTGGATGCTTTGAAGCATGAGTATCACATTCCCAAGTCATGGAGAATAGACGAAAACAAAGGATTGGTACAACAACCTGATGGTACTTGGAAGATGCAGGGTCCTGATTCTGATGAGGGCGATGATTTTCTTGTCAATCAGTGATATGCTTTTAGATTAGATCATTGCATATACGGTCTGTATATAAGGTCCCTAGCTACTATAGTTATAGAATTATATTTACATATATATATATATGAGGTCTGTGTTTATGGTCTCTCCTATATATAGTTGTACATAAATAAGATCACTGCTAGAGTAGCAGACATATTTGGATGTATAGAAGGTCTCGGTCTTTGCTATATATGCTTGAAATAGATTTAACGGAATTCCGTATTTTACATGGGTAAAATTATTTTCGCTATAGGCCTTTTAATGGATTGAATAAAGAATGTTTATCTGAGTTCTCTCTCACCTCTCTTGGTTCCTTCTTGTCCTCTATTCTCCCCCCTCCCCTTTCCCCTCCTCCATTGTACGCTGGCCCAAATTGACGGGTAAGGTTTATGCATGATTCGTCCTGTTTTAATCTCCCTGTGGCATATAACTTGGGAGTTTCAAAATGAATTCATCAGCGACTGAACATGTCATAAATTACAAAGAAGTCAACATACTGAGCAGTCAGCCTTCCTTCTTTACTGTATATATTTATCGTTTGCTAAATATATATCGCCAAGATCATTGGCGTTGAACTTTTTCTTTGGATAAAGTTCTATTACTTATTAACAAGTGGGTAGAAATAGAGACCAGAGACACTTGGAAGGAGGGGGGAAAAAAAAAGAGACACAGAAGCATCTTCTTCATGGTAAAAATCTCGCCCTGTTTTAGAGGGGAAGTCCAAAAGGTCGGCATTTTGTTTTGACCATTTCAATCACCAGTGACGGACCGGCGACCAGTACTGAGTTGTCAAAAGCGGGCGCTGCTTCTCGCCGTTAGAATGTGTACCAGTTATATATGTAAGAGTTCTTCGATTAAGTAATGGTTTGTTTAAGAGAAATAATAATCAACAACGAAACTATATATATATATATATATATATATATATATATGATCCAATATAATGAAACGATTAAACAAGAAATAATGATCAACAAAATATAAAAACTAGCTATAGTGGATTATTCCCGACAATCTACGGCGCAGCCTAACATTTGCTCCCATACTTATCTACGCATGCAAACCCATTCCATTTTTTCTGCTGTTTGAATTAGAACTGCATGGCTGGCCGAGTTAAAATACACAAGACCATAATCATTAAATATATAGAATAATATTAGTAATTTAATGATTTAACTTATGTAATTGGAACTTGTAAGTATTCATCAATTTCAATATCCTCGCGTAGTTTTTGAGATACTTTCTAATATTATGTCATAATCTTTGAAGGATTTGAAAATAATAATGAATAAGTATATAAAGAAAATCATAACTTAGACAGCAACACAATCTACATTGCTCAGTGGAATTAATATTTGGATATGCTAACTCGCGATACATAGCGTCACCCAATAGGAACCAGTTTAGTAAATATCTTCCTCAAGTTATTCATATATGCACTCGGCCGACTAATGCAAGAAGTTGATCACGCCATGGTTATTCCCTATGGACATTATTGCTGGTCATTGCCAGCTGCAGATTTGTTGACTAATTGACAATGACATATCTACGACCTTAAAATAATCCAAATTCTTTATTCTCATCGCTCGTGCGTACGCCTTCTGTGATGGGATATACATATTGGATGGGAATTACAAAACTATGGCTGGCTGCAAAGAGCTTCTAGAAATAGAAGAGAAATCTCAGGACAAAAATTCATGTTCAGCTCCATTTTCTTCCTTTTTCTTTATTTTTGCCAACCATGTTCAGTTCTAGCTACCTTAAAAGCATCCAATTCCGAATTAATGGTCGCGGACGAGTTTAACTTGCCCGTTGGATTATACGGCTAGCTAGATGTTGTGATGAAATTAAGAAGAAGAATAGAGTTTTTCATTTGTTTCTTTTTATTGATATATTTGAATATTTGATCGATGATGTGATGATATATATATATTTATAGTTTTGTTGTTCGGTCTAAAAATACTTCAATGCTTAGCTGACCGTATGTGCTGGCTACATGGCATGAGCCACGCCAAGAGACGCATACTAATCAATAATTGCAGGAAGTCAGTAACCAAATGCTAGCCCGAGGTTTGCGAATCAAAACTGTAAAACGATTTCAACTGCGCGACTGCACGTGTGTGTTACAGAAAACACATACAACATCTAATACAATGTGCGTGAACGGGCTAGTTAGGATGTAATATAATTAACGTTGAAGCACTTGAGAATTACGTGCGTTGGATATAGCTCTAACTCTCTCTAATATGATCTTGTTTACGAAGTTTACATGTATACCAGTGATCCAAATCAATCGTAAATTGGAAATTTCACGAACAAAACAACATTATCGATGAACAAACGAACACGTCCCATTACATAAGCAGGTGCTAAAAATAGTTGTAGTTCGCAACTTGTACATCATCAGCACAATTGTTTATTATTGTTGTTTCATTCCCTTATTTTAGTATGGGAAGGTGATATTTATTTCCCAGCAGTAGGCTAGCTATTCGAAAGCTGGTCTACTGTTTGACAAAGGGGTAAATCTCGTATCGCAAGTTACAACTTCCCCCAACAACTCGGCCTCCTTCTTTTCCATCACAACAATTTGGAAGTTCACTGATCGCTTCATCAAGACACTTCTTGCAATCAATGCTAGAAAGGTCTCTGGTGCACTGTGTCAACCCGTAAAGTGTCTCCGATTCTCCAAGCTTTTTCTCTCCGGTTGCAAACATCTTAGGGTTTACAGAAGCCTCCTTGGCAAGCTGGCTCAGCAATTCCTTTGTCTTGTAATTGAAAGTGGTAGGATCGCTGACGTTTTTCAAGTTCCACATGTAGAACTTGTTTGTTTCGTCAATTTGGTGAAAGAAGTCTGTGTCCAAATACTTGTACATGCAGTTGTCGTACCATATAATGGCTCCTTTGTTGTGAGGACAGAGTTTTCGGATTTCACTGCTTGCCTCAGAAACACAAGTTTTGCAGTCTGAGGCAGAGACATCACCACGACAAAGAGCGAGGCCATAAGCTGTTTGGCTCTGGACTGTGCCAACAGAACCCAGACCAAAGCCAGTCGGAGGGGTTTTGTAGTTGAGAAGGCTTATGAGGCGTTTCAAGTTAAATTCATAAGGGCTATGGGCAGTGAAGTTTCCAGAGTTTGAGCAGAAATGAAAGAGAGGGCCATCATCTCCAAAACAAGTTTGGAGGAGAGCAAAGGCTGTAAGAAGGATAACAATGGAGGAGAGCTTTGAGGAAGACATTTTGGAAGGAATTGGTGAATCCGTTTGGTTGTGGGTTTCCGTGATGATTATGGTTCGTAGAGCCTCTGAGTATTTATAGGCACGATCTTCGATTTTCCAGCGGATTGAAAATAATCCTGTCTCTGACCAGTCTAAGATCCATTTTTCACCAGACAATGTCAAAATGGAGCTGCGTGCTTCGTATATCTATTGCTTCGTCGGTTACAATAGCGCTTCGTCAATCCTAGCAAGGTCAATCATGCGCTGCAGAATAAATAAATTATTATTTTTATTATTTTATTTATTCTTTTAGGTGCTTACCGTTTAGACCTGGTATGATGGTTACTTGTTCAAAAATATTATAGTTAATAACAGAAAAAAAAGTATTAGTTGAATAAAACTACTACTGGTGATGATTTTTACATGGTGCAGAGCACACCCTCGTGCGGAGGAATTTGTCGGTTTATACTCTATCCTGTTAAAATGGAGACAGGTAATACCGCAATATTATTTATTTTTGCCAACAATACCGTAATGTTGTTAATATCATCAGCATGTGTATAAAAACGTTATCATTCATAATATTAATATCAATAATAACTACAAATTTATAACAAATACTAGAATCAGGCATAAATTGTGAATGACGTTACTCTTTCTCTAGGATTTGGAGGATAATGATCTTACAATAATGCATGAGATTAGGTGTTTGGACCAAAACCTAAGTTTCAGAAGTACTTTTGCAAAACGAGATAATACATATTTACTTCGTAATGCGTAAAACATGAAACCATGGTTTGGTTTCTATCCAAACATCCTAGAAGAAGCCGTAAGAAAAGATATTTTATGCATGAGATTAGAAGAAGCTGCAAGAAAAGATAATTTTTTCCCCAAAAAAAAATTTCTTTTGAATATTATATATGTGCGCCGTAATTTTTAGGTGAGCATGCATAATACTCTGCCCATAAAATATTCTGAGTTGATTACTTGCACTAAATGTTAGTTCTAGAATGCTTATGATTAGTCACAAAATGCGACTCTTAATTATAAATTACTACCTCTGGTATTTAATACAAAACTAATTTGATTTTCATTTTGGTCTTAAATATGAAACCTCAATCTATTTTGTCTCTCATATTTATTTTTTAATTAGTTATTATAATAGTTACACATGTTAAAAGTTCCATCAAATAGTAGTTCTAGACTTTTAGCTAATATATATGATTAGTAAAAATATTTTAAAAAAAATAATACCTATTTATTATAAATAACTAATTTAAAAATTTTAATCTATTTAAATTAGTCAGCTAATTCTTATATTAACCACCGGAGGTAGTATTATCCTCAAGTTATTCACCAAACGCGTCGGTTGGTGAAGGAAATTAGGCCCAATCGCACTTTCTAATTAGCCCAATTGCAATCACTATTATGGTAGGGTATTTTCACATAAAATTTGATTTCTATTATTAGTGATTATGATTTATTAATGGGCTTGGTTTAGTCCCATCCCTTCCAAACACTTCTAATACTCTATCTCTTGTCAGTTCTTTTTGCAAAAGATTTTCAAGTTTAAATTCCTTTTCAGCTGGATCTGCTGGAATGGTAGACACAACTTCCCTTTGGTTGCCCGATTTGGTTAATTGATTCCACATCCTCGTAAAACTGTCATTGGTTATGATTCTTTGATCATGATCTCTGATTTTGCTCATTTTTTATGTGTGCAAAGTGCAAACATTACGAAGATCTTTTCATGTATGGGACAGTTGAACTCATCAA